CTATGCCATGATGCTCATGGGCAGCTTAATGGAGACCTTGTACATTCTAAGCTGAATGGAGAATTCCACTACATCATAGTGAACAAAAAACAGACCATCCACAAAGAAATTGCAAAATAAGATTTGAGAAATTAAGAACAACAATCTACCAGAAGCAGTAGAATGACGAGTACAATGGTTCTAGGTATAAACAGACTTGCTTACATACCAACAACAGTAGATCAAATTACATACAAATAACTGAGAGAGAAACCAAGTCAATTAAATTCAATACTAGTTGCACCCAAAGATTAGGCCTTCTTGGGAGATTTAGTTGCCTTGGTAGGGGATTTCGCAGGCTCCTTCCCGGCCTTCTCAGATTTCTTAGGCAGAAGTACCGGATTGATGTTCGGTAGAACTCCTCCATAAGCAATTGTCACTCCGGCTAGAAGTTTTCCGAGCTCCTCATCATTCCGCACGGCGAGTAGCACATGCCTTGGTATGATTCTGTTTTTCTTGTTATCTCTGGCTGCGTTGCCAGCCAATTCCAAAACCTGAACACAATTTCAATGAACTCAGATTTTTTCTTCAAGATTATAAATTCATCTATATTTTTTGCATCTTTACAATGATGTTTTGTTTACCATTACTCTTGTAATTGAGATTAGAGAGATTAGGGCTTATGTAATGAATCTAAAGCTAACCCTAAATCCAAGTACTCAATCTAATTTCTCCAAAAGTAATCATCCACACAACAACAGAGAGATATTGGTTCATGTATTTCAAGAAAACCAACTCAAATCAAACACAAGTTTTAATAGTACAGTTCAATTACCGTTCTTCTCTGATTAATTAGTACCATTTAACTTACCAAAAAGCTAAAAATGCAACAAAACTCACAAAGTGCATAATTATTCAACAAAAAAATCACATTTACAACAATAATTATGGAATTTGAAATGAGTGCACATCCTGAGATGAAAAGGGTTTTTATACCTCAGCAGCAAGGTACTCGAGGACAGCAGCCATATAAACCGGAGCTCCGGTACCGACACGCTGCGAATAGCGACCTTTCTTCAGGTACCGGCCGATCCTGCCGACCGGAAACTGTAGACCGGCCTTGACGGAGCGAGAAACCGGCTTCTTCTTGGGACCGCCGCCCCTTCTCCCTCCGGCTCCCTTCTTCAGTTTACCACCAGTGTCCATTACAAATTCTATTCACTACAAACAGTAGCCCTAAAAATGGGTTTTGTGAATCAAAATAATACTTGAGATAGAGGAGGAAACTGTTCCTTCTGATTCAATAATGCACACACTTGGGCATCGTGGGAGCGTTAAGTAACAAGTGGCTTTGGACTGGGATGGATGGGTGAAGTACTTGCAGCGTTGGATTGGATCTTATCAAGGGCTGTGGAATAAAGAAGTGGCTATCCGCGTGCTTTGAAATGGACCAATCAGCGTATGACATTGTTATTGGGATTATAGGAAAAGAAACACGACATGCAAGGGTTAAAAAC